ACTTTACCCTGGCGTGTACATGTCATGACAGTCGTGATATGTACATATATGTATATATTGATATATTTCGAATGAGAATGTATATGTATGTGTACATGAAAATTTTGATGTAAATATTTTTATTTGCGTGTCCACCAGTAGTGCCGCGCACGGCGGTGGCGGAAGTTTCAAAGATAGGACACTATAGGAGTGGTGAGTTGTTGTGAATCAAGGAAGGCAGAGCGAAGCCACTGATGGACCAAAAGGTGGTTGGAGCTGTATCTACCTATCTATCTATCGATCTATCGACCTACAGTAGATGGACAAATTATTCAAACCCCTATCCATGAGTTATAGGCCACCCCCTACCTCCCCCGAATTTCAATGTTATGGTTTCGTAGCGCTGTTCCTTCTCTGGGGGTTTGATTTATTTCGTCCATTCGAAGGAACGAACCAAACAAGAAAATAACATTGATATTTGGGGTGAGGGGGGTTGCTCTATGTATAAGGGTTTGAATAATTCGTCCATCTATGGTAAGAAGGGTGGTGGTCAGCAGGAGTCTATAGCGAATGGTAAACTTCACTTTTTGTTCAACATTAGCACATATTGTACGAAGATATGAATTAGGTGACAGACGTGCATTGAACATTTTGAATTGGCCAACTAAGGCTCATGATGAAGATTTTGACGAAGCTGACTTTTGGGTTATTTGTAATGATGATGTACTGAAAGATATTGCGCAAGTGCGTTTTTCTGTTTCACATCTGTGTTTGTCCTACCTACTTGTTTTTGTTCTTGTTCTTGTTCTTGTTGTTCTTGTTGTTGTTCTTCTTCTTCTTGTTGTTGTTGTTGTTCCCTTTCCTGGGCGTGATTGAAAATGCTGTGTTTTTTCAGTTCCCTTTCCCGGAAGCGATTGAAAATGCCGTGTTTTTCCAGTTCCCTTTCCCGGGTGTGGTCGAAAATGTCGTGTTTTTCCAATTCCTTTTCTTCAGCGTGTACGAAGTGCTGTGTTTTTCCAATTCCCTTTCTCTTTCCCAGTTCTCCAGTTCCCTTCCAGTTCCCTTCCCAGTTCCCTTCGCGGATTCCCTATGTTTTTCCAAGGAAAGTGCGTTGCAGACTTTTTTTAATAAAAAACAAAAATGTTTCTTTTTTAAAAGAAAAAAAGTCTGCAACGCACTTTCCTTGGAAAAACATAGGGAATCCGCGAAGGGAACTGGGAAGGGAACTGGAAGGGAACTGGAGAACTGGGAAAGAGAAAGGGAATTGGAAAAACACAGCACTTCGTACACGCTGAAGAAAAGGAATTGGAAAAACACGACATTTTCGATCACACCCGGGAAAGGGAATTGGAAAAACACGACATTTTCGATCACACCCGGGAAAGGGAACTGGAAAAACACGGCATTTTCAATCACACCCGGGAAAGGGATCTGGAAAAACACGACATTTTCAATCACACCCGGGAAAGGGAAGTGGAAAAACACGGCATTTTCAATCACACCCGGGAAAGGGAACTGGAAAAGCACGGCATTTTCAATCACGCCCAGGAAAGGGAACAACAACAACAACAACAACAACAACAACCACAACCACAACCACAACGACAACGACAACGACAACGACAACAACAACAAGAAGAAGAAGAACAACAACGACGACGACGACGACGACAACGACAAGAACAAGAACAAGAACAAGAACAAGCAGGTGGGCCTTATCATCCACCTTTATGGTGTTGTCACTGGGCGTGCTTTTTCAGACAAGTGGTGACATGTGATGACACTTGTTAAAGCAATGTCTGAGTTTTTGGGATCGTATGCGAAAAAAATGAAAAAGATGAGGAAAAAATAAACGCTTAAGACAGTAGATGGACAAACCCCTATCCATGAGTTATAGGCCACCCCCTACCTCCCCCGAATTTCAATGTTATGGTTTCGTAGCGCTGTTCCTGCTCTGGGGGTTTGATTTATTTCGTCCATTCGAAGGAACGAACCAAACAAGAAAATAACATTGATATTTGGGGTGAGGGGGGTTGCTCTATGTATAAGGGTTTGAATAGTTCGTCCATCTACGGTATCTACCTATCTACCTACCTATCTACCTATCTATCTATCTACCTATCTACCTATCTATCTATCTACCTATCTACCTATCTACCTATCTACCTATCTATCTATCTACCTATCTACCTATCTATCTATCTATCTACCTATCTATCTATCTACCTATCTATCTACCTATCTACCTATCTACCTATCTACCTATCTATCTATCTACCTATCTACCTATCTACCTATCTACCTATCTATCTATCTATCTACCTATCTATCTATCTACCTATCTACCTATCTATCTACCTATCTACCTATCTACCTATCTACCTATCTATCTATCTATCTGTCTATCTGTCTATCTGTCCATCTGTCTATCTGTCTATCTGTCTATCTGTCTATCTATCTATCTGTCTATCTGTCTATCTGTCTATCTATCTGTCTATCTGTCTATCTATCTCTCTATCTGTCTATCTGTCTATCTGTCTATCTATCTATCAAAAAATCTATCAATCTATCAATCAATCTATCTATCTATCTACTATCTATCTATCTATCTATCTGTCTGTCTATCTATCTATCTATCTGTCTATCTATCTATCTATCTACTCATCTAATCTATCTATCTATCTATCTATCTATCTCTCTATCTATCTATCTATCTATCTCTCTATCTATCTCTCTATCTCTCTATCTCTCTATCTATCTATCTATCTAATCTAATCTAATCTAATCTAATCCTATCTATCCATCTATCTATCTCTCTATCCCTCTATCTCTCTCTATCTCTCTATCTATCGCTATCTGTCTATCGGTCTGTCTATCTGTCTATCTGTCTATCTGTCTATCTGTCTTTCTGTCTATCTATCTATCTGTCTGTCTGTCTGTCTATCTGTCTATCTGTCTATCTGTCTTTCTGTCTATCTATCTATCTGTCTGTCTGTCTGTCTATCTGTCTATCTGTCTATCTGTCTATCTGTCTATCTGTCTATCTGCCTACCTGTCTATCTGTCTATCTGCCTATCTATCTATCCATCTATCTATCTATCTATCTACCTACCTATCTATCTATCCTATCCTATCCTATCCTATCTATCTATCTATCCATCTATCTATCTATCTATCATCTATCTATCTATTCTTTGGGGGGATTCGACAACCCTTACAGCGCTTCTGTCTTCAAAACGCAGCGATCTGCAAAAGGCAATTTTTCGCCCGCCTCGTCTCAGCTCATCAGCTGCCGCAAAGCTAAGATAACGTACCCCTGATGTACCGTCTAAGATAATTTCATGTGATGTTAAAGTCAATGATGTATGAACATGTACATGAACGTTAAAACCCAACCCCACCCCACCCCACGCCCAACCCCACTTTTGTGGGACGATAAAAGATCATAAAAGATCCGTCTGCAAAAACATGATTCTAGGGTATATGAAGGGAAAAACACTTCCACAACATGGAGGCTCTTTGGAGCGCAAAAGCATGTTTCTAGGGCATATGAAAGGAAAACGCTTTCACAACACGGAGACTCTTTGGAGCGCAAAAACATGATTCTATGCCATATGAAAGGAAACGCTTCCACAACACGGAGACTCTTTGGAGCGCAAAAACATGATTCTAGGGCATATGAAAGGAAAACGCTTCCACAACACGGAGACTCTTTGGAGCGCAAAAACATGATTCTAGGGCATATGAAAGGAAAACGCTTCCACAACACGGAGACTCTTTGGAGCGCAAAAACATGATTCTATGCCATATGAAGGGAAAACATTTGCAGAACATGGAGGCTCTTTGGAGCGCAAAAACAGGATTCTTGGGCATATGAAGGGAAAACATTTGCAGAACATGGAGGCTCTTTGGAGCGCAAAAACAGGATTCTTGGGCATATGAAGGGAAAACACTTCCACAACACGGCAAGCTCTTTGGGCCATGTTAAGGGACATAGGGGCCACTGGGCAAACTTGGACCTAGGTTCAGCATAGGCCAAAAGTTGGGCTGACCTGAAATCTGCGAAGTACACCTTTGACACTCAACATTCTGAAGGGCACTTTTGGCAAGGCTAAGATTGATTGCGCACGAACGGGTATGAACTTCTGGCGCGGGCTGCAAGCGACATGAATTGGTGGAATTCTACCTTCAGTTCTACGCGCTTCTTCTGCATTCGCAAATACAAGTCCCACTCGCTGAGCGGAGATTACTCTAGTCCATTGGAGGCAATAGTCTTTCTGAATTGATGGCTTCACGGACATGTAAGCGTAAACTGCCTGTTTCTACATACGCCTGATATCCCGTGGATTCCCCTGGCAATACGCAGCTCAGGATAGGAGAGATCCGCTTTGCATCGCTTTGCTGATAAGGCTTAGGAGTCTCAAGCTGCATTCCTTCATTCAGTTCATTCATGAGTCCTCATGAGTGCTGAGTGCTCTGCGATGGCAGGACCTTCTGGCCTAATGTGCATGTGGCAGCGAGTAGAAGACCATCAGTGTGGCTCTTCAATGGGATTCTGATCAGTGCTACCTCTTATTCACAAACACAGTGAGGAACGAGAAGGAAGCGGAGGAAGTGCATGTTTGAAGTCTTTTGAGAAGATACAAAAGGGCGCTAGACCTCCATGTATAATAATGAATACACTTCAATAGACGCTTGACCCTTGACCACAAAGCTCTCCTTCTCCTCCGGAAAGACCCCTCAAATGTATGATCGTGTATTTGAATTAAACAATAATTCCCAAGCAAATCTAACTACAGTTGCAATTCCCCGCGCAAAAGAACTGTGAATATCTGTGACCAGTCTCCAACATATGCGATCTTCTCTGATGATGTTTGCTTCAGGAAGTATTTCTCAGCATTGCACTGATCATGCCGACCCTGTCACCTATTTCCTGCCTCAGTTTTTCTATGAGCCTTTCGGGCGGTATATTTGTGACAAGTTGCGCGTAAAAGTGCTTGTTGGCTTGCATGCGTCTGAGTTCAGAACGCATTCAAGAGGTAGGTCAACGCAAATGCTTCAAACCTGTTGCGCCAAACGACACTTTGGAAGGTTTTTACGTGCGCGGTGTGGGGGACGAGCGGCAAACTGTATTCGAAAGAGATTGCCTTTGACTTGAACTCCTATGAAAGCTTAATGGCTCTCACCCTGGAATCCTTGGAGCTAATTTGGTGTTAGTTACTTGACGAGTGCGCTATAGCCTGCTGTGCTCTTTCTGTGAGCCAAGTGAGTGTGAGATCAATCGAGGCCCATAAGGGCCAAACTCTTTCATAGCACCGGAGTCTCATTTAATCCATCCCTCTGGCACTCGTAATTTCTTTCGCCTCTCAATATCCTCAATCAAAAAAATAAAAAAGATTGTTCTGCTGCTCGTGCCTCTGTGCACGCGCCTGATGGCGCTCTTGCAAGTGAAGCAGCAATCGATAGCAGGCCCGATTGGCCTGAAGAACTGACACTTTGCAAATGGGGGAAGGCCTTCCATTACCTGAAAGATTTCAAGAAAAACAAAACCAATTACTCTATCTGAATACTGTCCTTCACTATCTCCAGGCGTGGAAGCCCTCAAAAAGTATTAACTTTCTGTACAAACGAACCAAGCAGTCTTGGGTTCGTGCCTGGTCCAAAGGGGTGAGCTACATGCAAATCCAAGACAGAGTATTCACCCCAAAGGAACGTGCGAAATCAAGCTCTAATCAAAAATCAGCTCGCTACTGAAGAGTGTCTGGCCGTAGGGGCTGTCAATAGCACCCTGAAATGCCAACAGTTTTGCTGTTTAGCTTCTTGTAACCGTACCATTTGTGTTTTCCAGATCTTTGTAGAGGACTTGTAGCAGGAAGGATCAAAACGCTGCTCCTAGTGGAGAAGACCGATGGAAAGGGGTCAAGTCGCGTGGCCCACTTGGTGCAAACCACGCCCTGGTGGGCCACTGGGAGCACGAAACAAGGCGAGTACTGACAGGTTGTGCTCTTTTCAAGAATGGCTTTCAGCTTACATGTGACACTGAGGCTCGACCACGGACACTTCTGCTCTTGCAAAACTATTCTGGTGTTCTGCAGCCACAGTAGGTTGTGGCATGTGGGTTTGGGGAATGTCTTTCTCCGTGCATGGTGGTCTGTTGGATGCTGTTGGCTTGTTGGCTGGCTGCTTGCGGACTTCTTGTTGGATCTGATGGACCGTTTCACTCCGTCCGATTCTGAAACATAATCTGCCGGTTCCTTGGCTGCAGAATTTGTTATTGTTTCTTTCTTTTTCTTTGTGATTCTAGTCAGTATGTCATTGTCGCTGCTGTGCAGTTCTTTTCTGGATCGTTTCTATGTTGTTGCTTGCTGCTGTTGCTTGCAGCTGGCGCTGCTACTTGTCCGTTGCTGTTGCGGTTGCTTTAGCTCCTGATTTTGTTCTTCATGCTGCTTAAATTGCTGCTTTCTGCATGGAATTCTGCCCGGACATCTTTCCGATACGCAAGTTGTCAGGCATTCCAGTTTAGAAACAAGAATGCCACACCCTGCCTCTTTGCCATCTGCAGCGTCTTCTGCCCTGAGGCCATTCAGGCTATGCATGGAAGAGGACACGGTTTGTGAAAAAATGTCGAATGTGCACGTTACGGTTTTAAAAAATGCACCGGCAAGAAGCCCCAAACAGGAGATACAAGCAACAGCAGCTACAGCACATTAGCAGATCAGGTTAGACGTTATGGCTTGTTGTCACAAGAAGCAACAGTTTGTCCACTGACCAGAACCTCATACCAGGGCATCTAAGAAAATTGCACTAGCTCTTAGAAAAAGGACCTTCTAGAGGACCACAAGATCTTCATACAAGAACCTCCTCTAAGAGCACCCCACAAGAGCTTTCATACAAGCACCCTCTAGTGCAGGCCATCTTCAAGATCTCCATGCAAGAACCTCTGAGAGAGGATTTCACCAGGATCCCCACAAGATCCTCCCACGAGGACCTGTACAAGAATATGCAAGGACCTCTTAAAGAGGATTTGACCAGGATATCCGCAAGATCTTTTCACAAGGAACCCTGGAAGATCTTGATCAAGAACTTCATTTGAAGACATCCAAAAAAGACTCCCGCAAGATCATCATAGAAGGATTTTGCAAGACCTTTTTTTACAAGATCCTCCTATAAGAGCATCCCTCAGGAGCTTTCAGACAAGCATCTCTACATCCTCAAGATCTTCATGCAAGGACCTCTTAAATAGCACGTCACCAGGATCTTCACAAGATCTTCATCAGGCCCTCCAAGAACGTAACTGCTATGAAGCATTTGCAAGATCGTCATGGAAGAACTTTCCATCCCTTGGCTCGGATCTTTGAGAAGCAGCCAAAAATGAGCACTGCGATATAACGACTGACACGTACAAAGTGACCAGAAGGCTGTGCGAGCGATATCAAAATGAGCACCGCGCCGCAATGAGAGCGGCCCGACACGCGAGGGTTGTGCAAGCACATGTTAGAATTTCACCAAGTACTGCGTGCACCACGAGATCAAAAAAACGACGGCAGCCCACCAAATACTGCGCCTGCCACCGCCTGCCACACGGATGAAAAAGCGTCCGATGTCCTGCGCTTGTCGCACGTTCCAGACTTCAAACTTCCCTGGAAGTCCGACGTCTGCCACGAACAACGTGCATAGCTCCAAAAACGAGCGCGGCGCGCCGGTAAAACCCGGCCTTCCAACAGAGCAAACTCGGCCAAGCACTTTTTTGGGCGCTGCGAAACCCGGAGGCCAAGACGCGAACCCTGAACGAACCCGCGCTTTACACTCAGTGTGGGCACGCTGTTTGGGGAACTAGATGCTGAAGATTCTCCTCTTCGAGGAATTACAGTTCTGAAGCCGAACAAATCATAAAACGTTCTGATGCGCACCTGAAGCTGCCACAATACTCCCCCTCAATATGGTGCAACAGTTTGTTCGCACGGACGGTGCTTGTCTAGATAGCCCTACTGGCTTGATATCAACGCTGATGTCCATGCAAAACCAATAAAGCACTGTATATTCAGTCACTACGAGCCACAACGGGTCTTCAGGAGTCACTACGTGTCCAAATTGTCTGATCCAAGTGAAGGCACCACACGTTGGCACCACGGCCTGCGGCGGATCTGCGTTTCCAGACCGCTGGCAGCTGAGCGCAACGCGGAGTCCACCTTGGAAACAGCATAGCGGCAGCCTCCCCTAAATGGGATTTGCCCATTAGGCCCATCAGGCACCTTAGGCCTGTTAGGCACTGGGTTCTCCATGCAAAGTATATACAAGTATCTGATATCAAACGTAAACGGCCAGATAGAACAAAATGAGGACCTATGAAATTGTACTGGGGTGTCTATGTTGGAAAGTTGCGGCAACATTTTTACGAGCCAAAAGGCGAGCTACAAAAGGTTCGATGTCTCCAATTGGACTTGATTGCGTTGTGGAACCTTTGTGGCTGTAAACCGCGTGTCCCAACAGCCAACAAGACACAATACACTTGGAATACTCTTTGAATATACTTGAAGGCGCTTTGCACATATATACTTGAATTCACCAAACAAAGTACCCAGGTCCACACAGAACTTCACTCTGAGATCTCTGCAGCATCTGTGAGAGCACTGGCAATGTCCTAGACCCCATCATGATGGTTCAATGCAATGGCAGCACTGAGCGTTAATTACTGATTTAGGTTTACAGTAATTCCAACTTAATTCAAGTCTGGAAAAGCGCCTGAATGAAGACGTAGATTTCATTGACTGGAAAATGGATGAACGAAACAGCGTACTTAAGAGTCAAATGGATGTAAAAGGGCAAAAAGAAGAGCGAGAAGGAGTCAGTAGAACAAACCAATCAATGATTGCATTAATATGGAACAACCAGCGCAAGAAAATGCAGGAACTAGACGACGGTTGGCCCGAGAGCGAAAAAGATGTTTTCAAGCAGCTCTGAGGATGGTAGTCGTAAAAGATAGTCGGTGAATAGTTGGTGAATTTTATATGAGCTATGGAAAGATATGGTGTGAAAAAGTAAGATTGATCAAGAAGAGAATATTTGGTAAAGGGCATCAGATGACATGTGTCTTGCAACCACAGAGAGAAAGAGGGGGCAGAGATAAAGAGAGAGAGAGAGAGAAAGAGAGAGAGAGAGAGAAAGCAAGAGAGAGAGAGAGAGAATGAAAGGGGGAGGTAGAAAGAAAACATGGAGAAATGTAATGTGAGCAACAAAAGTGCACAGGAGGCTCGGTACCATGAGTCTGCGAATGACATGTGCTATCTCATTTTATTATGGTAATTCCCACACACATTGCGGAAAAAGGCTCGGCACCATCATTCCGTGAACGCGAAGAAACGCGACGCTTTTATACAGAGACGCTTTTACACACAGAATCTTTTACACATAAACACTTTTACACACAGACGCTTTCACACAGAGACGTTTTTCATGCACACACACACAGACGCATTTCCACACAGAGACTTTTACACGAAAACACTTTAACACACAGACGCTTTTATACACAGACTCTTTTACACACATACGCTTTTACATGCAGATGCCTTTTTACAGACGCACACACACTTTCACACACAAACGCTTTTACACACAGACGCTTTTGCACACAGACACAGACGCTTTTCCACACAGACCCTTTTACACACAGACGCTTTTACACACAAACACTTTTACACACATACGCTTTTACACACGGACGCTTTTACACGCAAACACTTTTACATACAGGCGCTTTTACACACAGACGCTTTTACACTCAGACACTTTTACACACAGACGCTTTTCCACACAGACCCTTTTACACACAGGACGCTTTTACCACTGGGTGACCTCAGTTGCAAACAAAGGTGCGCAAACATAGTTGCAATGGAAATGCTAAAAAATCGCAAAAGTGCACAAGACCAGGCTCAGTACCATGATCAACGCACAATCCAATGCAAGGCATCCGCTCTTTGAGATACAAAATAAGCTCGGCACCATGATGCCGTGGATGACCTCAGTTGCAAACACAGGTGGGCAAACATAGTCGCAATGGAAATGCTACAAAATGCAAAAGTACACAAACAAAGGCTCCGTACCATGGCATCCAAAAGAATCTAGAACTCCGTGCAAGAATGCTTTGAATGATTCCACAATAGCAAGTTCGATATCACGATGGCAAGGATGACACCTGTTTCACTGCATTTCTCCGATGTCCCTACAGGATGGGAAAAAATCTTTACAGGCAAACAACAGTTGGCTACTGGTTTTGCATGTTCGTCACGAACAGTCTCTCCAGACGAACAGTGCTACAGATTAATTTGCGCCAGTTGCACTCAGTTCCATGTGCCACTCGGTACGCAAGCATTCCAGCTCCCACAAGCTGCTTCCAAGCAAAGGTCGGTACCATGATGCTGCAGATGTTGCATGTTTGCCGCTTTTACTACTGCAGCAATCCGGCTACTGCGGTCGATCTTTATCTGGGCACCTCCACGGACACGACCTAAGTTCCAGCATCTCTGTGAACGCAGCAAGATCTTCCAGCCAGTCAGCAGGATGCTCATACAAACGCTTTTACACATGGTGCTTTTACACAAACACGCTTTGACACACAGACGCTTTGACACACAAAAGCCTTTACACACAAACGCTTTTACACACAGACGCTTTTACACACAGACGCTTTTACACACAAAAGCTTTTACACACAGACGGTTTTACACACAGACGGTTTTACACACAGACGCTTCTACACGCAGGTGCGGTAAAAGTACACACAAAATCTTTTACACACAAACGCTTTTACACATGGTGCTTTTACACAAACACACTTTGACACACAGACGCTTTGACACACAAAAGCCTTTACACACAAACGCTTTTACACACAGACGCTTTTACACACAGACGCTTTTACACACAAAAGCTTTTACACACAGACGGTTTTACACACAGACGCTTCTACACGCAGATGCGTTTTACACACGCACACACGCTTTCACACACAAACGCTTTTACACACAGACGCGTTGACACACAAACGCTTTTACACACAGACGCTTTTACGCGCAGATGCGTTTTACACACGCACACGCGCTTTCACACACAAACGCTTTTACACACAGACGCGTTCACACACAAACGCTTTTACACACAGACGCGTTTACACACAGACGCTTTTACACGCAGATGCTTTTTACACACGCAGACACGCTTTCACACACAAACGCTTTTACACACAGACGCCTTTAAACACAGACACTTTTACACAAACGAAAGCGTCCATCGCAATTTTTCCTCAGTTTTTGACGTCCAACGTCCATTTCGTGCAAAAGGGTTACGATTAACTAAGTAAAATCGCAATTTTTCCTCAGTTTTTGACGTCCAACGTCCATTTCGTGCGAAAGGGTTGCGGGGACCTTCAAAGTCGCAATTTTTCCTCAGTTTTTGACGTCCAACGTCCATTTCGTGCGAAAGGGTTGCGCCGGACGCTTCAAAGTCGCAATTTTTCCTCAGTTTTTGACGTCCAACGTCCATTTCGTGCGAAGGGTTGCCGGGACCCTCAAAGTCGCAATTTTCCTCAGTTTTTGACGTCCAACGTCCATTTCGTGCGAAAGGGTTGCGTTTCGTGGCGCTCCGGCGGCACCGCCCCCGCCTTAAGAGAGAATAGAAGAAGAGCGAGAGGAGATCTGCAGATGTGAAGGTGTGAAGATCTAGATCTGCAGATGTGAGGGTGTGAAGATCTAGATCTGCAGGAGTGAGGGTGTGAAGATCTAGATCTGCAGGTGTGAGGGTGTGAAGATCTAGATCTGCAGGCGTGAGGGGTGAAGATGTAGATCAGCAGATGTGAGGGTGTGAAGATGTAGATCTGCAGATGTGACAGTGTGAAGATCTAGATCTGCAGATGTGAGGGTGTGAAGATCTAGATCTGCAGGTGTGAGGATGTGAAGATCTAGATCTGCAGGTGTGAGGGTGTGAAGATCTAGATCTGCAGGTGTGAAGGTGTGAAGATCTAGATCTGCAGGTGTGAAGGTGTGAAGATCTAGTATATCTAGATCTGCAGGTGTGAAGGTGTGAAGATCTAGATCTGCAGATGTGAGGGTGTGAAGATCTAGATCTGCAGGTGTGAAGGTGTGAAGATCTAGATCTGCAGGTGTGAAGGTGTGAAGATCTAGATCTGCAGGTGTGAAGGTGTGAAGATGTAGATCAGCAGATGTGAAGGTGTGAAGATGTAGTATAACGGCTGCTTTTTTACGAAGAACCCTTCGCAGGCGCTCTCGGGAAAAAGGGCGAGGGAGCGAGGGAGGGAGGAACAAAAAAATGAAGGGGTAAATGACAGATGGACAGACAAACAGCAGAATGAATCAACAGATAAACCGCTGAATGAATGGATGAAGCAAATAACCTCAACAGGAACATGACTGACAAAGTGAAAAACCAACAAGGGGGAACAAAGAACCCAAGAAAGAAATAAAAAGAAGCAATGACCCCAAGCAGATACATGATCGAATGAATGAATGAATGAACGAACGAACGAATGAATGAATGAATGAAAAATGAATGAATGAACGAACGAACGAACGAATGAATGAACGAATGAGTGAATGAGTGAATGAGTGAATGACTGAATGAGTGAATGAGCGAGTGAACGAACGAACGAAGGAACGAACGAACCAACGAACAAACAAACGAACGAACGAATGAATGACAGAAGAAAGTACAAGCAAGGAATGGGTGGATGGATGGATGAATGAAGGAATGAATGAACGAATGAATAAATGGAGAAATGACAGAAAAAAGAGAAGGAAGAAATGAAGGAAAGAAGAAATGATAAAGGAATGATAAAAGAACGAAGGAATGAAGGAATGGAGGAATGGAGGAATGAAGGAATGAAGGAACGAAGGAATGAGAGAATGAAGGAATGAAGGAATGAAGGAATGAAGGAATGAATGAGTGAGTGAGTGAATGAATGAACAAAATCCCCACCCTTTAGCAGGGGGAGGGGGACCCCTATATGTAACTTACATTTTCTCTATATTTCAGGTGTCAAAAATGTAATATTACATTTTTGACATCAGACCTAAAAATGTAAGCCTTACATTTTTAGGTATTTCGAGAAAAAATGTAATATTACATTTCCTAGGTAACCTAGAAAATGTAATATTACATTTTGTAGGTGTTCGATGGATTTCGATGGTGTTTGGAATCAAATGGAATCATATATAATCATTTCATATCATTTCTATATATTTCAATATATTTCAATGATGTCCAATATATTCCAATATCGCCCAATGATATCCAATGATGTCCAATGTTGTCCAGTGATGTCCAGTGTCGTCCAATGAATTCCAATGATGCATTGCGTCGCAGATCATCGTTGGTCATCGTTGGTCATCATTGGTCATCACATGTCATCACATATCATCACAATTCATCACATGCCATCACATGATATCACATGTCATCACTGCATTTCACGGCCATTTTTTGACTTCCCAATGTTCTGCTTTGCTTTGTTGGTGATTGTATGTGCCTGTCCCCCACATCCATATTGGATGTACGGCACAACCCGAAAACACATTCAATGGCATGATGCCATCTGAATATTGTACACAGGGAAAAGCAGGGAATCACAAGGGGAACGCCCTCCTTCCGACTCATTCTATTGCCAGGGTTTCGCATGGTTTCGCATGGTTTCGCAATGTTGCGCATCGAACACAGCAACAACAAACAAGAGTATTAGTCCCAAGTTTGGAAAAATATGGGGATAAAACATCATCAAACATCTTGGAAAAACATCCAGACCATTTCAGATCAAATTTCTGACAATTCCACTAGGATCCACTAGGTTCAACATGGTAAAAATTGGTAAAATATAGTGTAACGATGATCGACCATGATCAATATTGATCAACTATGTTCCACACTGCCCCTGCAAAATCCTGCAAAGTCGACCAAAGTCGTACACCGTACATCACTGTACTTAGCTCTCGGACAGCAAATGTCGCGGCACTTGCTGATCAACCTGTCTCAGAAACTTGAAGAGCGCATTGCGCCCAACGTCATGACCATCCTTATCTTTTCGGCCCGGCTGAAACCTCAGGTCATTTTTTGTCATCTCAAAAAAAATATATATAAAACATTAAAAAATCTCAACACAGCTCAAATAAATTTCATAAAACCGCTTCAGAGATCTTGAGATATCTTGAGATATCTTGAGATTGCTGTGACGCAATGTGGCGCATTTTGGTGTGCATTTTTTTGAGAAACGAAGTGAACACATGGAAAAACTGTTGGAGGAATTTGGAGATATTAATAATCAAAAATGTTTGACAGTTCAGCTCGTTCAGTCTGAAATGAAAGCCAAAGAACAAAGACAATTTATTGAAGACACCGTGACTCCAGCTATGCTTCTTGTTCTTGTCTGATCCGTCCATGAACTCAAAGTACATGGCACACCGGGAAGACATTGAAGGCCAAGAATGGAGAGCTCCCCCAAGCTTGACATTGCCCTGTGCATCGAGCAATGGCAGGGAACCGGAGTTCGGGTCGGCATACGCGCTGGCCAACCTCTCGAAAAACAACTTCAAATTTTTCTGACCTGCCATGCCCTTGGGAAAATCCATGGGCCCAAAACCAACAAACTTCTCTCGCACCTCCTTTGCCTCATCTGGTTTCTCTGGCTCTTCGGTATTCTTTCTCCTTTTGGGGAGAAAAACGGACAAAGGGTTCACCTCACCCTTGTGGATTTTGTCCAGCAATTCCTGTGTGGCAACAGGAACCCCAATGAAAAGTCTCCCATTCTGCGACCCATGATTTTCAACTGGCACTTCGCACGCAACATCTTCGTTTGGTGTCACCAGTCTTGCATGAGAAAGCGATGAGCATCCATACTTGCCCTTTTCACCGGGGACTTCGCTCAGCTCCACCGCCATGATGCGCGAGATGGAATCCACAGGGGCAGGCATTCCAAGGCACTTGCTCACTTTGAGTTTTCTCGGGCAACCCTGGACTCTGGCCAAACTGCCTCTGTAGATTGCAAAAACCACATGCAATCTAAATTTGACAAGCCCAGCATCGTCCTTCTTCAACAGCAGAATCTGCGGCTGCTCTGCCCCGACAGGACGCAAAACTTCACATGCCTGAAGTGGACCATCGTCGCAACTTTTTGGGCAAAAGGAAGAGACAAAAGCCTGCTGAGACTGCATCCAGCCATTCATGCGACTTCCGCGAGTTGCGGAATACCTTGAGAACTGCTTCGCCCTGTGGACTTGGGACACCATGATGTTGTAGGTGTTTTCATGGGGCCGTGCGCCCTTTACCTGTGTTGGCGACCTTAGAAAATGCGAAAGGACATGAAAGGAATGAAAATGTAAGTGCATGATGTCTAGGCGTTGGTTTGACACGTCCCCACCATATTTTCAGCAGTCCTCCTCTGAACAAATTACGTTTTTTTTTGGAAACATGTAAATCCAGTTTACCATAAAGCTTAATGGAAAATGTAAGCTACAGGACGTCTAGGCTCTGATCTGGTGCGCCCCCACCAAGTTTTCAGCAAATCCCCCAAGTCAGCTTACATATTCTAACCATATCGAATTATATATATATATAATGATATCTATTCATATCTATTCATATCTTATGAACTATTGCGAATTGATGTGAGTTGCTGTGATTTGCTGTGATTCACATTTTTCACATATTCACGCGAACTTAGGAAAACTGAGGCTCCAACAGCAACCCCTCAGCAATGCGGACCTTGTTGATGAAGGCCTTCAGTGGACCAAACAGATCCCGCAATCTCATCAAGCAGGATGTTTCGGTTCCAAACTTGGCGTGCTCCTCATCAAAGTGCTCCTTGGGCGTGCTGGAACTGGACGCAATTGCCGCACGAATCTGTGCAAAGCTTCCCGCTTTGATCTTGGCATGCACAGGTGGTGCTGGTTCTGCAGGTCTCTGACGCTCGGCTCGGCAGTTCTGTTCTGGCAAGTTCCCATGCCGCGCAGGTGAACTGGCTTTTGGATTGGCAAGCTCCTTCTGCAAGTCCTGCAGTTCGATGACCATGTCGTGACGCGCTTCCAAGACCGCCAAGACCTCATCAGGATCCCGCTGAGGAGACTCTTGCTGAGCCACGTCCTGCAATTGCGCCACTATAAAAAATGTAAGCTACATAAGCGTATGCTCTTGTTTGATGCACCCCTGCCATATTTTCTGCAAGTGTCCTTTGAACACCTTACATTTTCCAATCCTTGGTGCTATCACACCGAGGAAAAATGTAAGCTACAGGGTGTGCAGACTCTGGATTGATGCACCCCCACAAGGTATTCAGCCATCCCCCCTGGGCGGCTTACATTTCCAAGCATCTGTGCATTCATGTGCTTACCACATCTTACATCATCTTACCACATATCTCCATAATGTTCAAAATATCAAAATATCCATGTATTTGAATGCATTTTATTGCATTTTATTGCATGGTTAAATAATCTGTATATATCTATATATCATTATTTTTACATCTTTCCCAATCTTTCCCAAACATACCCCATAAATCCCAATCAAAACCCCATCTGTCCTGCCAACTCTTGCTCGCGACTTCTTCTTCACCTTCAACCTCCTCCGTCTCCAGAACATCGTCCTCAAAGAACACATCTGGGTCCTCATTTTGTTCCATCTTGCTGAAGCGGTTGCGGACAAAATCCTTGCCATTCTGGTACCACCAGTCCACCAGCTTGCCCTGCAATCCATCAGAGGTTTGCCCGTCCGCGGAGATCCAGGAGTGAAAGACGCAGGCATCATGCAGTGCTCCTTCTGCCAGATCCTCTCCGCAGTCAAAGCAGTAACTGTTGGGCTCTCATGCTCATCCCACATTGCAGAGTCCCGTAGTTGCTTTGAGTGGATCATTTGCAATCCGTAGACCCCATCCTTCAAGGATGGTGTTCCACGGCTGAAGCTTTTCACTTGTCCAAAATGCCTCTCTATAGGCGCTTCTTGGCGGCAACGGGGTCGCCATGGTGTGCCGTGTGGCCAGAAGTGGGCTGCCAGGACAGCATGCCCGGCCAAGTCCAGCAGAGCCCTCACATTTTGTGAAGGCAGGAAATGTTTCTCCCACTCTTTCCCATACTTGGCCATGGACTGCTGCGTCTGAAGAAGGACCATGTAGTAGGCCATCAGAGCGTTGGAAGTAGCCTCTTCAAACCCAAACTGGTCACTGCTTGTCCAAGCACTGATCAGTAAACTCGCAGCAAACTGGGCCACCATGGTTCCAAAGCAGCTCCAATCCTCAGAGAGATACCCGCAATTCAAGCGCCGTGCCATGTCAGCATCTGACTGAATGTCTTCCACTGCCAGAGCTCGAATCGATAGTCCGCCACGGACCAAACAGGAGAGGTTGACCACCAGAGAGCCCCACTCCACCACCCTGACTCCACAACAGAGATGGTGGGTGAAGCGCTTGAAGACGTGGTTTGAGTCATTGTTCCCGCCGACCCAATGCTCGTTCTCATACAGGATCCCCTTGTAGATCCAGCACGGGATAGTATCGATGGGCTTCTTGCTGCAATGCTTGAAGAAAGGGATGCTGGCCATGGTGTCACTAGACAATAGCCCAAGCATGCAACCATTCACATGCAAATTCGATCCTCCGCCATCCCACGACCCTGACACAGGCGGGACTCCATTCGCACGGGGGATCACGTCAAACAAGAAGCCGTACTCCTCGATGGTTCGCTTTGCTCCATTGGTGGAGTCACTCGCCACGGCCTTCGGAGCTCTGGGTAGCAAATCAACTCCATAAACATGACAGTTGGAATCGACTCGTGTGACTGCAAAGTGAACACACAACTTGGAAAGCCGATCTTCTGGCAGGCTGCCATTTCCAGCTGGCACGAAGGAGAAATCTTGATCAGGGTCTGCACTGTGGTGCCCACCAATGTATCCTAGGCGATGTCCTGGTCTCAAAGACACGATCACCTCCCATACCGGTGCCCAAGTGGTCTCGTCAAGGATGACCTGAAACCCCCTCTTGCCAAGAACGTTGAGGGCTGACAAGGCAGCACGGCAACTTTGTTCCAGAGTCTCTCGGCTCCTGCTTGCCACCTCAGACTATCTCAGACTGAATCCATCTGAATCCATATGAATTCCAACATATTCAGCATAATTCGGCATGTTGAAGATATTGAAACATCACTCGTTTTCCCTCCATTTTTTCAATTTTCCATTTTTTCTCCAAAAGATACCAGCACTATCCCAGAAGCTTGAAAATAGAACACATCATAACACATCAACTATCATCAACTCACATCATCACGCATCGTCACACAACCAAGGAACAAAAGGTTGTGGGAGGACAGGGTTCATCAAGTCCACCTTGGGGATAACTGACTCGGCCACTCCGAACATCCTGTATGCACAGGCATTGGACATCATTGGACAGCATTGGACGTGGCATGACGTGGCAATGGTCCAAGCATGTCCAAGCAGGCTGTCAATTTTCCCATATTTCCCAATATTTCCCAAACAGGTTCCAGCAAATAGCAATTCCCAAACAAGTCCAAACATTCTAATCAAAACTGTGCGGTGAATTGCGCTGAAGGATATGGAAAGACATGGAAAGACATGGAGAGGCGATAGCAAACAGGTCAAAACAATTCAGAACCCCTCTCCTCAGGACCTGCTTCATGCATTTGTCTCTGCCCAGCAAAAACATCAACTCTGCTCCCAGCTCGCTATCGAAGAACTTGCTACTGCAAGGACGCTTCTCACACCCTCGCTCCAGCATCATCATCGCAGATTTGAACAAAGCGTCCAACACAGCACCACCCTTGGCGCGCAATCCTCCAGATGCCACCATGGCCGCAAGCTTTACATCCTGGAGAAAGGACATAAAAGGACAAAGGATGACAAAGGATCGTTGTTTTGAAATTGTTTTTATATCTTTAAAAATGTCATATAATTCAGTACTGTATATTTCAGATTGGTATTTTGACATTTTGAGAAGCGTGCCTCTTGAAGCATTTCCCCACTGAGCATTGCATCATGGTATTTGCGGATCATGGCCCCGAACACATCGGCTTGGAGACTGCCGGCTGCAATGTGGTCGCCAAGCCCAGCCACACGCGTGGTCAGCAAATCTTCAAGAGCTGGGTTGCGGCGAGCTGCTGAAAGGCACTCCAAGCTTCTACGAATATGGAGAACTTGTCCTCACAGGCAGAATTGAAGCTGGCCAAGGGACCCTGAAAATGTAATTTGGCATGGGGGTAGGTAGCCAAATTCTGGGCTACAGCATGTTATGAGCCATGGTGGGGCCACTGGCTTTACATTTTCAAGTCGATGCTGTAAATGTAATGCGGCATGGGGGTAGGTAGCCAAATTCTGGGCTACAGCATGTTATGAGCCATGGTGGGGCCACTGGCTTTACATTTTCAAGTCGATGCTGTAAATGTAATGTGGCATGGGGGTAGGTAGCCAAATTCTGGGCTACAGCATGCTTTGAGCCATGGAGGAGCCAGCGGCCTTACATTTTCAAAGCCATGCTCCAAAAAAGATTGAAAATGATCGAAGTACATTTAGAACCACTTAGACATATCTAGACGCCACCCCGGCATACCCCTTTCCGTCCTCGCGGTGCAAGCTTCAAGATGTCATCCAAATCTGAACCAGCAAGTTGAGTCACCATGTAGTCCCTAGTTTTCATCAGTAAAACATGGTTCTTGACGTCCTCAGATGAGCCATAAGCAATGTTGTATGCCAAGGTGATCAGGTCCAACTTGTAGCCCCATGAAGCAATTTCTTGTGCAACCTTTGGATTCTCGGCGAATGTCAAGCAGTCATGGCACCCCAAGCTGGACTGTGCACCACAACAATCGTTGTGCCTGACGATGAAAGCATCATCTTGTTGACGCCAAGAACCCACTTCAAGCAACGCCTTCTTGGCTCCAACACCCAAAGCACATGGTTGGCCAGCTGACAGCCACAGTCGCAAACTGCAAGTCAGCTCAGATAGACGGCCAGAAACCTGATTCACACGAACGCCATTGCAAGCCGTCCTCTCCCCTGCAGCAGTGCCATCCTTCATCAAGCCCAATGCTTTTAGGCCTTTCGCGTGACCAGCACTCTGCGATTCATGAAGATGGACGTATGTTACTGCGTCCCTGAAAAACTGGACGACCTTCTGGCAAGGGACGCAAAAGTAATGAAAGCGCTTGGCGTCCTGCGCCTCTTCATCTCCTTCTGCACCATGATCCGGCTTGACTGGTTGGTAGATACCGCTTCTGTGAGCAGCAAGGTACTTTCGAAGCACATCTGTTTGCCTTGCATCCCTGGTAGGTCTTCCCCTTTTCCTAAATCCTGCATCCTTCTTCTCTTGTTCTTCTTCAAGTTGCTCTTCTGGTTCTCCCGGCATGTACACAGCAGCAAGCCGTTTGCAGGCTTCACACTCGAAAGAGGCTTCCTCTCCCGCCACCAAAGTTTCGAAGAACTTCTGCCAATGGCCACGTGCTGGCAGGGCTTTGATCTGAGCATGTGCCTTTTGCCAAGAGCCATTGTGCTCCAAGCCTTTGCCAAGCAGCTCCTCCTGCAATGATTTGACCTTCTGGGCAAGATCCTTCTTCGATAGTTTTTTTGCCTTTTTTTTCTCCTGTTTGCCCACTGGAGATTCATCTTCAGGAAGAGCTCTTTTCCTCGCAGGTGGTGTGCTTGGAGCTGGGGCCACATCTGCCGCATCAGCCATGCGTGCATCAGCCATGCGTGCATCACCTGCATCAGCCATGCGTGCATCACCTGCATCATCACGTTGCCCATTTGAACTTGAAGCCGTTGGACCGCGTGCTGGATCACATTCATGAGAACCTGCAGAATGACCAGGCTTGGAATGGCTCATTTGCTGAGCAACTGCAGCTACCTCATCATCAGGTTTTTGGCGCTTCACAATCACATGTCCTGGCAAGGCTAGCCTCTCATGCTTCAATGGCTCTGATTTGGTCTCAAGTTTTGGAGGGACGGGTGGTCTCACAAGTACATTCGAACACAAAGCCTTCAGATCAGCATCACTGGCAAATGACTCATCAAATTTCTTTGGAAGAGGCTCCCGATATTCAAACAGAGCACTCAAAACTCTGTTGGCAGCTAAAAGGCAACGGTGGCCGCAAGACCACGTATCTTCCTGTTTTGGCACTTCTGCCATGGTCAATTTGAACGTCAAGCCTTGTTGTGCTTCCACACGAGCGAGCCACTCCTCACACCCTTTCTGAATCACATCAAGAAAATCTCCATCATAAACAACAGCCTGGGCCACACCAGAAGCATCAACATCATTCTTGCTTGCAGCTAGGAGCGCCCAATGGGTCTGAGAACTCACAACGGCCAAAAACAGATGAGCTTTTTGCTGTTCTTTCTGGAGTTGGACTACCTCATCGGTCGGATCTAGCACGCAGCAGTGATCTGTCCATGGGTGAGGACAATGATACTGGCACAGCTCCACAATGCCGTGAAAAATGTGTCCGATGTTGCACTTCCTCTTGAGTTTGATGGGCAACTTGGGATATGGGTGGAGGAGAGTTTGCTCGATCGTCTGCAGTGCACATTCTTCCATATGGATCGCCATAGGGGCTTTGACCTTGAAGCATCTCTCTATCCACAAGCCAATGCCCTCAGGCAGATTCTCCCATTTTGGTTCATTGACCATATCATCCATTAGGAAATCCTCTAGTATCCAAATCCTCTGCTGGGAAGGGCCCACCAAGGACGTCACTTCCACGGAGGATAGAACCATCTTGACCTGCTCTTCACTGCCCAACTCTTCCCAGTCCTGGCGAGTCTTCCCTTCGGCCAAGAAGGCAATGTATGCAGCAGCCTCGCTCCTGCTGACATCCCCCACTAATGTGCGGGCCTTGTGCCCAATCAATCGAAGCAAATGTTCATAGTCAGCGCGATCCCAAGAATTCCTGAGAAGTTTCGGAAGAGCGATGGACACCAGTGGAGAATACTGGAGATGCAGGGAAAGGATGGGAGATGATGAGGTGAGATGATATTAGGTGGGATATGATCCGATATGATCGGATATGACAGGATAAGATGGGACTAGGAACAGCTAAGGCACAAGAAACATCAAGAAACATCGTCTAGCATATAAAACAAAATCATACCAAATCAAGGATCATCAACCTACTAGGCTTCCTAGAGCAGCGTTCCCAATCATCAGCCAACTCATCCTTCAAGACTTCCCATGGTCTCCGGATACATTCTGGCAGTGCTTTGCGAACCACACTCTCATCCATAGGTTCCTCCTTCACCCTCAACGACAACTGCAATCGGGGCTTCTTGGCACGCACAACGGAAATGATAGCAATGTCATCGTCATCATCCAACTTGGCCTGAGACATGGAGGAGCAGGCAGAAGTAGAAAAAAACATCTCGACGATGTGGACATCGAAATCTTCTGGAAAACTCTTGCAACATCTTGCAACCTGATTTTCAAACAAAACACTTTTATTCTGAACATCCAAACACTTCAAAAAAATCAGTGCCATCCAACTTCGAACCCATGCCAATCTGAGTCACCTACAGTGATCATAAGTGATCTAGGTATCTCTAGGTGCCCCACGTCGTTCTCAGCAGAGGCTCCTTCAGGTCCAGTGCCAGCCTAAGCAGGCAAAAAGATGTTTTGCAAAATATGTCACATTAAAAATCAATATAATACAAAAACATACAATATGTCACCTTAAAACATCTTATAACATAATGTGGAAATCAGATGGAGAAAGATGGGTTAAAAATTAAACATATATAAAACGTAGAAAAAATGTAAGTTTAACTGTGTGAGCATGGACCTCTTCTGGAAAATACCATCATTTTCAACACCTAGAGCAGTCTAGCTTACATTTATTTTAAACAAACACCATTCACAAAGCAGTTCCAAGCAAAGTGCACAATAATACGCAAATATGCACAAAAAGTATCAACAAATATCAAAAAGTGGCATAAAATGACGTAACATATCATGAAATAACCAAAGGTAATCTCAGCTATTCTCAGCTATGCGATTCAAAAATGTAAGCTGAAAGCAATAGGGGGCCAGAATCCATGCAGCCCACCACTATCTCAAACACCCTCCCCAAAACAGCTTACTATAATTTACTATATAGGTAATATAATGTAACATCGGATCTTACATTTTCTTGCATGATCTTGCATCAACTATCATCAACTTACATCTTTCACGCTTAGGATCGCTTAGGTAGGGAGCACAAAAAACAACTGGAAGCCATAAGATACCATAAGAAAGTCCAAAGAAACTATATAAACATAAAAATCCATCAAAGGATCTTGTCAATGTTGGTGAACCCATGCCAATCCTGGTATATCCTGGTAACCTACCATCATTTAGGTGCCCCACATCGCTCACAGCAGGTGCTGCAGTGCCAGCCTAAGCAAGCAGGAAAATATAGGAACATGCGCTTTGCAAAATAGTTCACATTATAAATCAATATAATACAAAAACATACAATATGTCACCTTATCTTATTGTGCATATGTGGGTATCATTGTGCAGTTTGCCTGGAATATCTTGAATATCATCCTAGTCATCATTAGTCAAATCAGATGGAGTAAGGTAACTTCAACGAAACTATATAACTATCAAAGGATCTTGTCAATGTTAGTGAACCCATGTCAATGTTAGTCATCTACAGTGATCAGCAGTGATCTAGGTCTATCTAGGTGCCCCACGTCGTTCTCAGCAAATGCTCCTTCAGGTCCAGTGCCAGCCTAAGCAGGCAAAAAAATGTTTTGCAAAATATGTCACATTAAAAATCAATAAAATACAATAACATACATTATCACACAATATGGTAC